TTCTGTGTTCACTAAAATGGAGAAATCTACAGCTGGTTCTTTTATTAGTTCTAGAATTGTGAAAATCGCTGCGGAAGCTGTAAAGCTATTAAAAAACTAAAGAGGAAATAATAAACCACATAGTAATACTTAAAAACGGAATATTAGTTTATTGATAAGGACAAAAATAGAATTAATTCATAACCAGAAAGAAACTGAAAACCCTTTTAGATTAAAAGGAAACCTAGCGCTTCTAAAATATTAGCTAAATTACAGCACTTGAAACAGTATACGAAAGTAGGAGGCAATATAATTGATAATGCTACTAAAAAACATATTCGAAATTTATTGTGACACTCTATCGATTTATATTTCTGTGGAAAACTGTGTACTGGGGTTATTCTTAATGTTTAGGTTAGACTTGTCAACGTTCAGTGGCTAAAAAACATAGTAGGTGTTAGATATATAAGTTCACATTTTGAAAACAAGTATTTTAAGTTAATTTCTCTTGCCGAAACAAAGTTAAATACTGTACGTTCTAAACAAATAAATACAAATTCAGTGTCATACACGAATACTAATAAAAACTAAAATGTAAAAGTTCCTGACATAAATCTTCCTGAATTCGCAAGTGGTTATAATAATTGGGTACAATTCTGCGATACTTTCAAAGCTTTTATTTGTGAAAACACACAATTAACGACAATCCAAAGGTTTTGTTATTTGCAAGCAGCTCTAAAAGATAACGTCGCGCAGGTATATCAAATTTAGGGACAACTGAAGAGAACTATCCAGTGGCGTGGGACCTATTAAAAGAGAGGTAGGTACCTACCAAAATAAAAAATTAATAATTCATAGCCATATAATATATATAAAGATATTTTTGAATTACCAAATGTTATCAAAGAATCGCATATATCATTAAAATAATTTCTATATACTTTCACACAATATTTTCGGGCATTAGAAAAATAAACCTGCCTGTGGACACGTAGGACACAATATTAATATATTTATTGTCCTCAAAATTGAATAAAGCTACAAATAGAGAGTGGTAATTGACTACTACAGATAAAATTCACCAATAATAACAGAATTCACAAAATTTCTGCAAAACAGGTGTTTGTTGTTAGAAACAATCAGTAGCAAAGTTTTCATAAATCAAACGACAAATGCCACGAAGGATATTCTCAAATCATATTCTCATGTCAGTGCCTTAGTAAACCTAAAATGTACTTTCTGTAATGGTTAACATTATATATTTTGTTGCGAAAAATTCCTATTATTAGCACCCAAGAAACGATTTGCAAAAATAAAATCATTGAAGTTATGCGTAAACTGTCGTTTGCAAAACGTGTCGTAATTACTTACATTTTGAAACATTACTTCATTTTGAAACGAAGGATCTCAAGCTCACCCTTAGAGTAGTCAAACTACAGATAAGGTTCAACCAGAGGCTAATACATAATTGATTTAGCAAAATTCGACAATTATCGAAAATAACGAAATAACTTCGCAAGTCGATGCAAAGAATGCTATAAATTCTACCACTTTGGTTCATTATTCACATTATAAAGAATATTATGTTTTACTTTCAACTGCGGTAATATATGTAAGTACTTGATAAACAAGGCAATAATGTAAAATACAGAGAAGTCAATCAAATTTTAAGAAGCAAAATTGTTTTGGAAAATTAAATATAGGGAATAAATTAAATATCGTCTAACATTTCACGTAAAGCTCAATATGAGATAATCAGGCCGATGTATCCCATTTTATCATAATAACAGTTACGTTATTTCAAGGTAAAATCTTAAGGTTAACGTTAACTGTTAAGATATAACGTGCATGTTATTGAGGAATTAAGACCATTTTTAGCAAATACTCGTATTGCAATTTTGTTGTTTTTTGAAGACGCTTTTGTGCCGACATTTTTAATAATAATTATGCAAATTTATTATAAACAAGAGTCAGTATTAGACAGAAACACATATAACTGACAGAAGTCTTGTAGGTTATGAAACATGAAACAAATGCAAACTCGTAAATAAAGGGTAAGTACGATATAAAATAGTTTGTAACACGTTCAGGTCGAGTATGTATCCCATTTATGTTAAAACGTTATGTTAGAAATAACGTTTGTAAATAACGTGCCGTAATAACGTGTATCTTATAGTAAGTATTTGTGAAACACACGTTATGTTATTTAATCGTAATGAAATGAGACTGAAAACGGCCGCTCTTTTATGTTGTACGTAGGTACCTGTTATTTACGAGTTTGCGCTCTACGTTGTATTTGTTTCATGTTTCATAACCTAGAAGAATTCTTTTAGTTCTATGTGTTTTGTCTATTGAGTCGGATATTTATAATAATTATGCATTATTATTATTAAATATGTCGGTGAAATACATCCTCAAAGTACGCCCTTCGAAACAGTTTTTTCTAAATATCTGGGGTTCTATTCAATATTTTGGAATGAAACAACATGCAAAATTACTGCTTATAATAAACATATGTTTTATTAGTGATTTCTTGTTTGGGAGTTGCTACTCTTATTTTTTATTTCAAAAAAACTATATTTTTCAAACATAAAAAAATTTAAAATATGATTTATGTAACCAAATTGACAAAATTAAGTCCTATTTTTGTGGGTGAACAACGCCCTAGTGTGCGAAAAATATCTGTACGATTAGAATTAACATTGCAAAATAAAAAGTTTTTACTTTTTCTCTAATCATACGAATAATTTGTTCTATTAGCCTCAAACGGATTTAAACGGATGCAAACTACCCCTCATGTTCATCCCCAAAAAACAGTATTTCTGTGACATCTCGGGTTCTAATCAATATTTTGGAATGAAACGAAATGGAAATTACTTCTTATAAAAAAAAACAGATTAATGATTTTTTCTATTGGTCTAAAACGGATTTAAACTGATGCAAACTACCCCTGATGTTAAAAGTAAAAATAATGTTGAAAATAAACAATAAAGTATAATTTTAACAATTTTAACCGGGGGATGCAATCCCTAATATTCAGTCGACTGAGAATCGTCCTATTGAGTAGAGGCCGTTTTCAATATTTTGCTTAATTAAAAAAAGTTTGATAGGGCCAATAGAGGACAATATATATAAAAATGTGTTTTCGGGTATGAACATTAAAGATGGTCTTCACCCTTCAATACAGTTTTTCCGCAGAAAGAAACAAGTGCCCAATATTTATTTTTCTACTGTCTGTTTGTGAAGTGTCAAAGTTTCGTGCTTAAAAGCTTAAAACTCGAGCCACCAATATCCTTTTATTTTTTGGATTCTTAATAAATATTACTGTTAAATTTTAAAAATCCTCCTTAAATCAGAATAAACAGAAAGTTTTGTACCAAAAAGTACAGAACATAATGTTAAGGGTTGCAAACTTCTTTTAAAATGAACATAGCTATTGGTATCGATTAATGGTTGGTTTTATTTTTTATTTGAATACTCACATTTCTAATTTCTAGAGAATATCGGATAGCATACCTTTTAATTCTTTTTTATAAGAGGTAATTTCCATTTAGTTTCATTCCAAAATATTTATTAGAACCGAGATATCACGGAAATACTGTTTTTGTGGGTGAACATGAGTGGTAGTTTGCATCCGTTTAAATTCGTTTGAGGCTAATAAAACAAATTATTCGTATGATTAGAGAAAAAGGAAAAACTTTTTATTTTACAAATTAATTATCTCGTCGCCGAACAGGTGTCGAAATAATAAAAATCACTTTAAAAAAATGATATATTAATTAACAAGAAGCAAGTTCACAATTACACGTTAAATTTCACACTGAATGGAATAAGCAAAGCAGATCTCTTATATAATAAAATAAAAGCATTTTCAGCAAAAGATAAGGAAGTTGACATTTGTATCTAGTTATTACAGCAGAGAAGTTAATGATTCTGAAAAATAAAATATGAATATAAAAATAATATATATATAATTCCTCCCGTCGTAGAGGGAGCTACAGGGGATGGAGCGACCAGGGTCCTCATCTGATACCTGGGCTCAGGGGTGCTTCTTGTAGATGCTCAATACGCGGTAGGTAAAAAGGAGTCAGTAGAGAGTCACTGCTCCTGGTGTGGTGACTTGGAGATGATTGATTCAAGCATGATTCCAGTCCTTAAATTATTTATATTTTTCCAGAGGTTTCTGGGGCTTCTTTATTGGAGTCATTCGACTTCGAACTTCTTGTGAAGATTTTAGGCGTTATTATTTTAATAACTGAGGCTCTCTTCTTAAAAATGTAGTATATTTTTATTATTATTATTAAAATTATACCCAAGATAATATACAGGGTGTTTGTTATGTTATGTTCTTTACATTGGAAAGGGTTGTCGCGAATAGGCGCGCCCTCTGAAGCCCTTTTTTGAAAACATTCCTGCTGGAGCGGCGAGACGTGGTTTAGTATTAGTATTGTACCAGAGCTCAACCGAGCAAGAGGTTATTTTGAGATAGAATAAAAAATATAAAAAATACAGTCCACACATTTTGTTATTTGAACCAAGCGATACCTATGTTAAAGTCTAGAACATAGTGGTCCTAGCGAGCGGAATTTGAAGAGAACCCAGTGTCCTAGGAATTGTGCACGTAAAACAGCATCTCCGAGAGCAGAGGCGAGGTGCTGAAGCCGGCAGTTGGGCATACAACGTTCCACGCGCGAGCCTGTACAAGTTCATCAGCCGCACATCGAGTCAACTCCGCTGTGACGCAGGGAGTAATACGTAAACAAGCTGCACGATTCAACTGGGCGACTGGTTGCGTAACAACAAAGCAACAAGTGTTTTGAGGAACAAGGGCAAGGCCATTTTTCAGCTGTAAACAACCGACAAACGTGAGTCCGTTCCTTTATTTATTCCTAAACAGTTCAGTTTTTATTTGCATGAGAAATTACAACGAGATGTCTGAGTTAATTGAACTAACAAAGAAACGCGGGTATGTTAAGGCAAAACTTACGCGATTTGAAAAATACTTAGAATCGGTAAAAGAAATGATAAGGAAATTATCGGATAATGAAAAACTTAATCCTACGGTGGTAATTGAGTTAGAATCGAGACTTTTGAGGCAAGAGACTCTGTTGGATGAATTTAATGAATGTCAGGCAGCCATAGAAACGGTAGATGACTCGGAAGAAAACCGAAATGAGGGTGATTTGTTTGAATCAATGTTTTTTAAAATTAACGCAGAGTTCAAGCAAATAATAGCAAATCATACAATACGAGAGCATAGTGTAGGGCGTTCTGTGTCACGCAGTTCGTCAAATTCTTCAGATAAAACTATCGCGCGATCAAATAAATCTAGAACAAGTTCTGTGCATTCTAGGGTTCGTTCCAGCGAGGTTACATTATCAGGTGTAAAATTACCACAAATCGAGTTACCAAAATTTTCTGGGGATTATGAAACATGGCTCGAATTTAGAGATACGTTTTCGTCCTTGATACATGAGAATGCTCAAATTCCAGAAATTTCTAAGTTTCATTATTTACGGGCACAATTGCAAGACAGTGCGAGACAGATCATACTTTCGCTGGAAGTTTCTAAACAAAATTACGAAGTCGCGTGGAAATTGCTATGCGAAAGGTATGATAATACGAGACTATTAGTATACAATCATATCAGATCATTAGTTGATGCACCCTGTTTAAGTAATAGTAATTCAGGGGAACTACGCAAAATGGTAGATTCAATTTCAAAACACTTAAGGGCACTAAAGGCATTAAACCAACCCGTTGAAAATTGGGATTCTTTGTTAATATTTTTAATGAGTCGAAAACTTGATAACGATTCTCAGCGGGAATGGGAGCAAACAAAACATGGAAAAAATCTTCCAACACTAGATGAATTTAAAACATTCGTAAAGAGTAGAGCAGATTTTCTTGAAACATTAGAGTTTAATCAAAGGGATTTAAAGGCTAAGTTAAAGGGAACTTCATTGAAGTCAAATCAATTAAGCAATGCACGTTTTCGAAAATCTGATCAAACAAATATATTTCTGACAACAAATAACAATTGTTTATATTGCAAAGGTTCACACTATACAAATAATTGTCCTGATTTTCTGAAGTTATCTATCAAAGAAAGACGTGAACAAATAGACAAGTTAAAACTTTGCAGAAATTGCTTACGTAACAATCATTTTGTGAAATATTGCAAATCAACTAATTGCCAAAAATGTAATAGACGTCACCACACACTATTACATACCGAATGGGAATCAAACGAATCAAATGTACAAAAAGAAGGCATTAATACAGCACAAACTGCAAGCGGCAGCAATGAAAGCACTAACGCAAATAATTCAAACAAAAGTGTAATATCAATGTCGAGTCAAAACCTAGAACAATCATGTGATATTTTACTGTCAACAGCGTTGGTTCGTGTAGTAAGCAAATCGGGAAAAATTCATGTATGTAGAGCTCTGCTTGATTGTGGGTCTCAGTCAAATTTGATAACAGCTGACTTGTGCTCCATATTAGGACTTCAGAAATCACCAGTAAACTTATCAATTATGGGTATTGGACAAGCAGTTTCAAATATCAAAGATCGATGTACAGTAACGATTCAATCGTGTCATGAAAATTTCCAAACATCTATTTCTTGTTTAGTTATTCCAAAAATTTGTGAACAAATTCCAAGCCAACCAATTAGCAGTGGTAATCTACCACAAATTCCCGATCATGTTGTGTTAGCAGATCCGAACTTCGGAAACCCTGGACCAATTCAAATTCTATTAGGTGCCGGGATATTTTACAGTTTACTTTCGAATGATCGAATTTCTTTAGGCAATAACCAGCCAATACTTCAGAAAACTAGTCTAGGATGGGTAATATCAGGTACAGTGATGTCCAAAAATAACTTGAACATTCCAAATTCCACCTTCTGTAATTTAAGTACAAATGTAGACGTTCAACAGCAGTTACAAAAATTCTGGGAGATTGAAGATTCTTCATTTTCTTCTCCAAATCTGTCGGCAGAAGAGAAAAGGTGTGAGGACATTTTCTGTGAAACAGTAACTCGAAATGAAGAGGGTAGGTTCATTGTAACAATTCCTTTAAAGGAGCCCATTTCTCGATTAGGCGAATCAAAACAACTAGCCTTAAATAGATTCGAGTCACTTGAGATCAAATTTCGAAAAAATCCTAAATTCTATGAGATGTATAGTAAGTTTATGGCAGAATATGAGAATCTAGGTCACATGACAAGGGTAGTAGAGTCTTCAGTAAACAATCCAGTATCCTACTTTCTACCTCACCATGGTGTGTTAAATGAGAATAGTGCGACAACCAAGCTTCGAGTAGTGTTTGACGGTTCAGCTCCATCTAAGTCAGGGTGGTCATTCAATGACTTACAGTTGGTTGGTCCAACCATTCAAAATGACTTGTTAGCGATTCTACTGAGATTCAGAAAGCATAAAATTGTTATATGTGCAGATGTGGAGAAAATGTATCGTCAGGTGTTGGTCAAGCCTGAGCAACGAAATCTACAACAAATATTGTGGAGATCAAACACATCAGAAAACATTCATTCGTATACTTTAAACACGGTGACGTACGGTACCAGTTCCGCACCTTATCTAGCAATCCGTTGTCTAATTCAACTAGCTAATGATCATCAAAATTCTCATCCGGAGGTTTCAGAAGTAATTAAAACTGATTTCTATGTCGACGACTTAATATCAGGAGCAGACACGCCTCGAGAGGCAATCGAATTAGGTTCTGAGATATCCCATATTCTAGGAAAGGGATGTTTCAAATTGCACAAATGGATATCAAATGACGAGTCAGTTCTTAATGTTTTTCAAGGTAGTAGTCCAGTTTCTAACGTAATGCAATTAGGAGCCAAGGAACAAACAAAGACTTTAGGTCTGTATTGGGTTTTCAAATCAGATGTTCTGAAATATAATATTCGCTCTGTGTCTGAGAGCAAGATCCTAACAAAACGAAAAATTCTTTCGGATATATCTCGTATCTTCGATCCGTTGGGCCTTCTCAGTCCATGCGTAATTACGGCGAAAATTCTTCTGCAGTTATTATGGACCTATAAGCTGTCATGGGATGATGAATTACCTTCTGAGTTCCATACCAAATGGATAAGGTTTAGAAATCAGCTTTCCGTTTTAAATCGGTTAGAAATTCCTAGGCATGTAGTATGCACATCACCAATTAACATCCAACTCCATGGTTTTGCAGATGCGGCTCAAAATGCTTATGGAGCTTGTTTGTATGTAAGAAGCATAGATTCCAACGGTGTTGTATATACTTCATTACTATGTTCGAAATCCAAGGTTGCACCGGTAAAACTAGTTACAATTCCAAGATTGGAACTATGTGCCGCGTTGGTACTTAGTCAATTAGTAAACAAGGTCAAATCTTCTATGAATATGAATTTTGATAAAATTGTTCTGTGGTCCGATTCAACAATAACATTGCATTGGATCAAAATGATACCCAATCTTCTTCAAACTTTTGTTGCTAATAGAGTGACACAGATACAAAATCTGACAAAATCCTGTATATGGAGGCATGTTCGATCGGGTGACAATCCAGCAGACTTACTATCTCGTGGTATAGATCCCAACCAATTGTGCGATTCCAACATATGGTGGCAGGGACCAAATTGGTTATGTGAAAATGAAACAATCTGGCCAAATGCTTGTCCTGATCTTTACGATGATAATGCTTTAGAATTGAAAAAACACGTATCATGCGTTGTCTCACAACAAGCTGAACATTTTCCTTTCCATCGGTTTTCAAATTTCAAACGTTTGCAGCGCACATTGGCATATTGCTTGCGCTTTGCACATAACTCAAGGTATCCGGAAAGTCGAAAAATTGGCAGTTTATCTGCGACAGAACTAAATGATGCAGTAACTTGTCTAGTTAGAATCTCACCACAAGAGACTTTCCCTAAGGATTTTAAAAATTTAGAATCACAAACTTCTGTTACCCCTAAGTCAACCCTCTTACGTTTAAATCCATTCACAGATAATTTGGGAATCCTTAGAGTGGGAGGGCGACTACAAATGTCCAATTTTGGTTACGAGAAAAAACATCCTGTTTTGTTGTCTAGTAAGCATATATTGACTAAACTATTATTTTCTCATGAGCACATTCGTTTACTCCATGCTAGTCCTCAACTATTGTTGTCTAGTATACGAGAAAGCTACTGGCCTATTGGTGGTAGAAAACTAGCAAAACAAATCGTGCATCAGTGCGTTAGATGTTTTAGGGTAAAACCAACACAGACGGCTCCAATAATGGGAGTATTACCGAGTTCTCGTGTTCAGCAGAAACCTGCTTTTCATACTGTTGGAGTAGACTATGCAGGTCCTATAATGATTAAAGATAAGAAAGGACGTGGATGTAAACCAATTAAATCTTATATATGCTTATTCATTTGTTTCACTACTCGAGCTATCCACTTTGAACTAGTTTCAGACCTAACGACGGAGTCTTTTATTGGAGCATTTCGCATATTTGTATCAAGGCGCGGGAAACCCCATGAGGTATACTCTGATAATGGCACAAACTTCGTTGGGGCAGCATTTGAATTAGCAAAATTTTTACTAATTCAAAACGAATCTCTAACAGAGTCATTTGCACTCGAGGGTATCAAGTGGAAATTTATACCAGCTCATAGTCCTCACTTTGGAGGTTATTGGGAAGCGGGAGTCAAATCTACCAAGTACCACCTTAGGAGAGTATTGTCCAATAGTTTGTTGACTTTCGAAGAAATGTATACCACTTTAACACAAATAGAGGCTGTACTCAATTCCAGACCTTTAACACCGATTTCATCAGACCCAAACGATTATGATGTACTAACGCCAGCTCACTTCCTTATTGGTCAAAGAATTACTGCCCTTCCTGATCCTAACCTGAAAGAGATTCCTGAAAATCGTTTGTCAAAATTCCAACGTGCTCAGCAGCTGCAACAACATTTTTGGACCCGTTGGTCGAAAGAGTACGTTTCGGAGTTGCAGCAGAGAGTAAAATGGAATCAACAGTCAACCCCACTTCGAAAAGGCGCCATGGTCGTAATTAAGGAGGACCACCTTCCACCTCTTTTTTGGCGGCTAGGTCGCATCACCCAGTTATTTCCTGGTCCTGACAATGTGTCGCGAGTGGCATTAATAAAAACAAAAAATGGTGAAGTGAAACGATGTTTCTCTAAAATATGTGTGTTACCCGTGGATGTCAGTGAAACGCCATAACACATTAGAGATAGTATATTTTTTAAGAATTTATTATATTTTGAAAGCTCACCCTTTCAAGGCGGGGGGCATGTTATGTTATGTTCTTTACATTGGAAAGGGTTGTCGCGAATAGGCGCGCCCTCTGAAGCCCTTTTTTGAAAACATTCCTGCTGGAGCGGCGAGACGTGGTTTAGTATTAGTATTGTACCAGAGCTCAACCGAGCAAGAGGTTATTTTGAGATAGAATAAAAAATATAAAAATACAGTCCACACATTTTGTTATTTGAACCAAGCGATACCTATGTTAAAGTCTAGAACATAGTGGTCCTAGCGAGCGGGATTTGAAGAGAACCCAGTGTCCTAGGAATTGTGCACGTAAAACAGCATCTCCGAGAGCAGAGGCGAGGTGCTGAAGCCGGCAGTTGGGCATACAACGTTCCACGCGCGAGCCTGTACGAGTTCATCAGCCGCACATCGAGTCAACTCCGCTGCGACGCAGGGAGTAATACGTAAACAAGCTGCACGATTCAACTGGGCGACTGGTTGCGTAACAACAAAGCAACAAGTGTTTTGAAGAACAAGGGCAAGGCCATTTTTCAGCTGTAAACAACCGACAAACGTGAGTCCGTTCCTTTATTTATTCCTAAACAGTTCAGTCTTTATTTGCATGAGAAATTACAACGAGATGTCTGAGTTAATTGAACTAACAAAGAAACGCGGGTATGTTAAGGCAAAACTTACGCGATTTGAAAAATACTTAGAATCGGTAAAAGAAATGATAAGGAAATTATCGGATAATGAAAAACTTAATCCTACGGTGGTAATTGAGTTAGAATCGAGACTTTTGAGGCAAGAGACTCTGTTGGATGAATTTAATGAATGTCAGGCAGNCTTTCATTTTCAAGATATCAAAACTTTTTTTCAGATTTTTGCCAATATCTTAGAAATCGTTTGAACTACAGGACTGAGCTTTTATACACACATTACCACTATTAATTAATAGCTACTTGTTGCAAATGCTGTTAAATTTCGTTAAAATTTTTAATTATTACTACCCGTCTTTTAAATTATAAAATATTTTCGAAACGTTAGCAAAATGTTTGTTTTTGTTCATAAAAAGTCATTTTTCTTGAAAACAGTTGACTTTAGAGCAATGAACCAAGAGAACTCTTTTTGTGTAAAATTCATTAGCGCTTCAGAATTTGCTATCAAATGTTAATTTTTCCAGTGGCGTAATAATTAGGGGGGAAAAACCCTTAGGATACCTTAAAATCTCCACCACTGGCACGTCCAATGAATTCGAGAAGGGTTCGAAAAAGTAGCTATTAATAATGGTAATGCATGTACAAAAACTCAGTCCTGTAGTTCAAACGATTCCTAAGATATTGGCGAAAAACTAAAAAAAAATTAAAATTTTGACACCGTGTATCTCGAAAACGAAAGCCCGGAGAGAAAAATGGAAGAGGAAAAAATTGTTTCTTTTTTCAAGAGGAATTTACAGTTTTCCGTTGCGACACTTATTTAGGAACACCCTGTATATGAGATAATGTGGTTTCTGGTTAAATTCTGGATCAAACAGTTCTAGAGGTTGGATTTTAAATTTGGATATACTCTCCGCTAAACTACTCAATTCATCTAGCCGTATATTTTCCAAATTAATTTGATATCTACTTCTTGTTTGTTCTTAAGTAAGTAGGTTGAAATGGGAATGAGCAAACTGGTATGGGTAAAACTTGGAAATAGTCATAGGTTTATATTTGGAATATGGGAATTTGAAAGTTGATACATACTTTGTAATTTTGAGTGTGTGTTTTGATAAAGGTTAATTTATAATAGTCACTCAGTGGAGCTTTAATTATAGATTTTTTAGGATAAATTTGTTCTAAAGTATTATTTAATTTTGATGATAGGGTAGTTAGATAACTCAACTGTTCTTTTTGTTGCGTTTGAAGGTTAAATTGATTACTTTCTAAAATTTTTAATTTTTTCTCTGTCTGTTCTCTATCATTATTGTCCATGAGGCCAAAAAGTTCATTATATCCTGTGCCGATAAAGTTTAGTAATCCTCGTTTTCTGCGATTTATATAGAAAAGGGTTGATAATTTATTGTTAATGTTTTTTATTAGAGGCTCGAATTGTGTAATAGATAGGTTCCCTTGAGTCTGTATTTCTCGTGAAAAATTTTGAATTATATTTGATAAATTTTGTAAATTTATTATTTGTACGAAATTATGTGAATGTGTGCAAACTTTTGCTTTTCCTATATTAATGGGAGTATCAATTATTTCGGAATAACTGTGCCAGAGGAATATTATTGTTACGAGAACTCTTTATTCTAAAAAAATGTTTAACATTGACACATGACATGTTCTAGCAAACGTCAAAAAAAAGGTATTACAAAAATGATAGATTAAAAGCAATAATTATAAACTAAAACAGGGAGACAGGAGGTGAGCTTCCGTATCACTGCCCCCTCTTAGAACTGATCGTCCCGATCAGGTTACTCCATTGTCCGCATGGCCTTCTTGGTAGGGTGTAAGTCGATCCAGGTGAACAATCTTCATCTCGGCCTGAGGACTCCTTTGGATCCGGTACACCACGTCGTTAATTCTCGTCACGATGGTGTAAGGGCCTTCCCAAGATTTCTGCAATTTCGGAGACTTGCCCTTGGTCCTTTTCGGGTTATAAAGCCAAACTTTCTCGTTCTCTTGAAAGCCGCTGTTGTTGGCACGCAAATCGTATCGGGTCTTCATTTTGTCGCTTTCCATCCTCAATTTTTCACGTACCTCTTCGTGTACCAACTTTATCTTATGTTTCAGGTGGCTGAGATAATCGTTTAAACTTTCCTCCTGCTGCGGTCGATTTATAATCAGGTCTATTTGTAAACATAGCTCCGTGCCAAATATTACATTGGCTGGTGTTTCTGCCAGTGGTTTCATGAATGGCTGCTCGGTAAGCTAATAAAAATGGAGGAATGCAGGTGTCCCAGTTGGTCTGTTTCTCGTTGACGGCCGTTCTCAGGAAATTTTCAATGGTGCGATTAAATCTCTCCACCATTCCATCGGACTGCGGATGAAGAGGTGTAGTCCTGGTTTTGTGGATGCCTAGTAGACCGCAAACACCCTGAAATACTTCGGATTCGAAGTTCCGTCCTTGGTCTGAATGAATTTCCCAAGTGACTCCATAACGGCATATCCAATTTTCAAATAGAACTTCAGCCACGGTGACTGCTTCTTGGTTGGGTATGGGATATATTTCTGGCCACTTACTGAAGTAGTCCATAATTACCAAAATATAGCGATTTCCACTACTACTACGAGGAAAGGGTCCAGCTACGTCGATAGCTATTCTTTCCAATGGAGCTCCAATATTGTACTGCTTCATCTGTCCTCGACTTCGAGTCCTTGGTCCTTTACTTGAAGCACACGTATCACATTGTCGACACCATTCTTCTACATCGGAACGACTGCCAAGCCAGTAGAATCGCTCCCTGACTTTGTTCAAGGTCTTATTTACTCCAAAATGTTCACCACCAACACCATTATGAAGTACTTGGAGAACTTCTGGAATTCTTTTCTTGGGCAATACCGTTTGGAACACCCTTTCTTTGCCATCAGGACTCTCCCAGGCTCTTTTTAACAAGCCGTTATCGATTACTAGAGAATCCCATAGTGCCCAATAACTTTTAAAAGCTGGAAGATTTATTGAAAAGCCACCAAGATGTGTTCTCCCTAACCGAAAATGATGTCGGAAGAACCGATCTTGTGCAGCACCGCATAAATACTGGCGACAGCACCCCAATTAAGCAAGCTCCGCGAAGAATTCCCCTTGCGAAGCAAGAAGTGTCTACAAAGCTGAGAGACATGCAACAACAAGGAGTCATCGAACCATCTCAGAGTCCATGGACTTCCCTAGTTGTGTTAGTAAAGAAGAAGGATGGCTCAATCCGATTTTGCGTAGATTATAGAAGATTAAACGACGTCACTAAGAAGGACAGTTATCCATTGCCAAGGATAGACGACACCCTGGATACTATGTCTGGATCCCAGTGGTTTTCTACGTTAGACTTAAAAAGTGGTTACTGGCAAGTTCAACTTCACCCAGATGATAAAGAAAATACCGCTTTTTCTATTGGGACGGGTTTGTGGCACTTCAACGTAATGCCATTTGGCCTCTGCAACGCACCGGCTACCTTTGAAAGACTTATGGAAACCATTCTGCGCGGAATGACTGGGAAAACTTGCCTCGTTTACCTTGATGACATATGTTCTTATGTCTCGCTAGTCTTAGTGCTTGACTGATCTCAGAGTCTCGCAGTCCATCAATGAAGCTACTAATTGCTAGCTGCTCTTGGAATTCCGCCGGTGCAGTGGGGTAAGCTAACTTCACCATGCGCGTTACGTCTGCCTCAAATTGCTGTAAATTTTCTTCGAAACGTTGTCTTCTACCTTTTAGTTGGGCCTGGTAGACATGTTATAGATGAGCTTCACCGTACCTCATTTCTAAAGCAGTCTTCAGCAGTAGATAGTCCTTTTGCTTGTCCTCAGCTATTGTCCTTAAAATTTCCATGGCTTCACCTCGTAGAGACACTATTAGTGATGTAGCTTTTTCTTCTTCCGACCAGTTGTTTGCTAAGGCAGCTGCTTCGAACTGTTTGAGGTAAGTGCTCCATGACACCTTTCCATCGAACGTTGGCGGCTTAATCTTAGAGGATGACCCGGAGCCACTTTCCATCTTAACAAATTCCTTGGTAGATAACTGTGACTTCAGATTTGTGACTTCACCCTGTAGCTTGATAATGCTATCTTCTATTTCACTCTGTAACTTCACTACACTTTCTTCTACTGTCTGCACTTTGTCTTGGTCCTCATTTCTCAACAGATTAATTTCCGCCTCAACAGTTTCTTCGAACTCTTTGATTTTGGTTTTAATTACTTCTTCCAACTGCTTATTATTTTCTTGTAGACTAGTCTTCATATCAGTTCTCATTTCTTCGTGATTATTCTTCATTTCCTTTT